GCTATGGTGTGAGAGCGAGGCTGTGATTGCAGGTGGGTGCTGTTTGCAGGTCAGACTGGCTGGCGTCAAATAGTTCATTTAGTGTAAAGCAGCTTGAGAGCTGCTTTGTGTTATGCTAAAGACATAGGCAAGAGAAACCCTATGTTTATTGGAGGAAGAAGAGGCCTTCTTCAGGCTACTTTACACCCTGAATTTGGGGCATGTAATCCTCTGCTGTAGCCACAGAGTGGGGCCGTTGTCTTTGGGAGCGTATGAGGGGCTGTGGATGTGAAAAGGCCATTCAGCTGGGGAAGCAGCTGGGCTGTAATTCACAATGTTTCCTCAGACAACCATAACAGATGCAGTGAAAATGGTCCCGTCAAGAAGAATGAGAGGTATATGGACTTCATAAATAACCTTCCAACACAGATGTCTTTTCCAGTGATCTCACCAAAAAAAAAAAAAAAAAAAAAAAAAGACTCAAGACTCTGAAGCAAAAAAGCTCAAGTATAGTGGAACACGATGCTCCATGGGGATTCAGCCTCACCAGAGTACCACCGGGTTAGACAATGAAAGAGGAAGGCGAACCAGCTGCATGGAAGAGGAGTAAGAGTTGTTCCCAAGTTAACAGGTTATTGTAGGAAATCCTGACAAGACTTTAGGCTTAGGGAGACACAAACCTTTCTGGTCAGCTGGCAGACAGAGAAAGATTGCAAGCAGAAAATTCATTCAGTGGAATAAACTCTCCACAGAGTTGAAGAGTTGCTAAGTGAAGCGCGTGACACCGTTTCAAGATGGGGATGGGAATAATTTGGTAACATCAAGGACAGACAAATATGATGGTTAACCTGACAGTAGGGCCAGGGTGGCTCGCCTCTTAGATATAGAGGCTGCTACAGCCTCACCAGATACTCTTTGATTAAATGCACTTAAATGGACTGTATTTGTTAAACTAAAGCAAATTATTTTATTTTTTTTCTGTGCGATCCAGAAACTCCTATTCTTTCCTTATCCATGCTTTATAGGTATTTTTCTTTCTACAGATATCCAGGTATACTTTGCAAACTACCTGAAGCCATGCAGTCTTGGAGTCATATATTACCAAAGTTAATGGTACTGTTGCAGTCAGAGGGCTTAGTAAAAACAAAAGGGGCCCAGGGCAAAAGCTGGCTGTGAAACGTGAACCCACTCCACAAAAAGGCAGTAGAAAAGCTGGAAAAGTGTGTGGCTGCAGGCAGGAGGAGGAATAGAGCAGCTCTTCCGTAACAAGCTATTGAACAAATCACCCCTCCAGTAAAGATGTTGTTTACTTAGCTCCAGAGCTGAGAAAACACCTCAGGAGGAGGCAGCAAGCTAAAAACCACTGAGTTTTTGTACTGACGTGAATAACAGAATCATAGCATGGATGGGGGACCTCTGAGGATCATCTAGTCCAACCCTCCTGCCCAAAGCAGGGTCAGCTGCAGGCAGGTTGCCCAGATCAACACATGGAAACTCCACAGCCTGTCTGGGCAGCCTGTGCCTGTGTTTGACCACCCTCACCGTACAATGTTTTCTCATGTGCAGATGGAATTTCATGTATGTCAGTTTGTGCCCATTGCCTCTTGTCCTGTCAGTGGGCACCACTGACAAGAGCCTGGCTCCCTCCTTCTTCCTCCCTCCCATGAGGTGTTGTACATTGATGAGACCCTCCTGAGCCCTCTTGAGACTAAACAGTCCCAGGTCTCAGCCTCTCCTCATATGAAAGATGCTCCAGTCCCTTAATCATCTTGGTAGCTCTGCACTGGACTCACTCCAGTAGCTCCACATCTCTCTTCCTGGGGAGCCCAGAACTGGATACAGAAATCCAGGTGTCCCACTGGTGCTGAACAGGGGGAAGGATCACCTCCCTCGGCCTGCTGGCAGTGCTTTTCCTAATGTGGCTCAGGATGCTTTTGGCCTCCTTGGCAGCAGGAGCATGTTAACAGCCCATGGTCAACTACTTGTCCACCAGGACCCCCCAGGTCCTTCTCTGCAGACCTGTTTTCCAGCTGATCAGCCCCCAGCTTGTCCCGGTGCCTGGGGTTATTCCTCCCCAGGTACAGAACTTTACATTTTCCTTTGTTGAACACCGTGAGATTCTTCTCTGCCCACTTCTCCAGCCTGCCCAGGTGTGTTTGGTTTGTGAGTGACAGAAAGAAGGGGAGGCAGAGAGAGGGGGAGGTAGAATGCACAGAAATTTGATGAAAATGAAGAACCTAATCTGTTTTTCAATTTAGCATGGTGGAAAATCCCTGCAACTCTAGCTCACGTTAACTCAAGCTCAGGTTGGGTTTGGTTTGTTTATTTTTCTTTTTTTTTTCTTGAAGAACAAATACTTATTAATCCTCAAAAATGCCATGGTACTTTTTGCCTGTGGCTTCTCCTGATGCTATTCTGTTGGATCCAACTTGTTTCTACTCAAATCTGTCCTGACAAGAACAGGTGCAACTCAGCTGAAATCATGATGACTGTATATAGTCCCATATGTCACTGCAGAGTGGAAAAAAAAAAAATAGCATCTAGTAAACTACAAAACAAAATCAAATGTGTGGTTTCAGTTACCTTTGCTACTTTGTGCAGTCTGAAAAATACTTTTTTGCTCTCGTGAAGCTTGACAACATCTCATTGAACAAAGCCAATGGGTTTTCAACAGTCTGCATTTAATATTAAATGTCTTCATACCCACAAGCATAAAATAGTAATGGGAAACATATCGCTGGGAATAAATACCCATCTCAGACTGTGGTCTCATCTCTGGTTTTGATTAAATTCCTGCATTTGCAGCAAAGGAAGCAACAAATTTACAGCTCTGTAGGTAAGAGAAGATAGTTGAACAGTTGCTCCGCCTTGATTTACAGTTCATTTATTTTTATCTACCAGTCAACACACAAACACATTCTGTTACAGGTTTGGGATTTAGAAGAGCTTTCAGAAGGGAAATACTGTTTCCTGATCCCTTTTAAATAGTTAACTCTTTTTCCAAGGCCTATCATCAATTACAGTGAAAAGTGACTTAGAAGAAATTTTTGTCTAGATGCATAGAATATTCCAGAGACTAAATATATTCGTCAAACCAGTCTGGCTCAGAGAACCTAGAGGCTTAAGTTCATTATTAGTCAGCAAGATCTTTGACCTTTGTAAGAAGCTAATCACCACTGCAAGTCCAGGTACCACTTACCGTACAGTAGGTTCACTTTTAAAAACTGAAAACACCGACTCCAGCGTCATCTGTGTGGGGTTTGGCACTGAACAGCTGCGTTTCTAATGATTATATTTACAGCAGGCTTTCCACATTTCTCTTCTAAAGCCTGTGTCATTAATGGCAGAATGTGTCCTGTTGATGAACACATTGACAGCCCGGTGGGAGGGTGTTTGAAACAGATCTGGTTGGGAGGTCTTCTGCAGCTCCCCGGCCCGTTGACCTGCTGGGCAGCAGTGCTGTGGGTGGGGAGAGAAGTCGGTCACAGCAGTGACATTTCCATACCCTTCCTCGGGTCTCTCCATCTCGGGATGGATCCTCCCATCAGAGCAAACTGTGCATGGACTGGAGTGGCAGGACCAGGCTGCGCTCGCACGGTGCGGTAAGGACAGCGAGGAATGGCACAGCACAGCATGGAGCTGCAGTCCTAGCAGGTCACACTTGGCATTTCCAATCATTTCTTTGGTCGTTTGGCTTTATTTAATTCCAAGCTGACCGCAGGATCCTGTTCACAATGCTGCTAGTTATTTTACTGCAAAAATGGAGTGCTGAGTTACGTTTAGGGCAGAGGGGAATCATAACCCAGACTATGGCATCGCAAAGAAGATTGAGATTGTGAAAGATCACCCACTTCTCACCCTCTCGTCTCTGGATGCTCCTTACGCTGATGAAGAAAAGGGGCAGAGCCATCGCCTTTTGCCTTCTGATCTCTTCCTACCCTCTGCAGGTACAGTTTGCACCTCCTGAGCGTCAGAGCACAGGTCTGCCTTGCCATTCCACAAATCCTCATGTCCCCCTCTTCCACCCCAGCGCGCATCTGTGAAATTACAGGACACAAACTGGCCCAGAAAGACCTCACCAGTACAAACATCTTATGTCTAAAGGACAGTTACAGGAGCTATTTGGTTGCTAGCTATGGTTGTTGTAAGCAGATCTTGAAGAAGAAACCACTGGTTTGTACTGGTAACCAGTAAGCATAAGTTACGGTATCAGTGAAGGATGCAAAAGAGTTGTATGATATTTATGATTCAGCAGCAAAAGCTGCCCCCTGGAGGAACAAGTCATTAGGCAAATTAGATGCAACGGGGTCCTAAAAATACCTCCACACATTCAGCAGTGAGCATCATTGTTATAGTCACTTTACTAAGTTAACCAAAGAGATTCAAAAACTGAAATACAGAGACTTTATACAGAATGAGTTGGGAGTACAAATAAACAGCAGTAACGTTCTTCAGGAAATGGGTTTTAGTTGTGTTTTATAAACATCAATAAATATTGAAAAAGACGTGAAAATTAAAAAAAAGAAACAATACCAACAACTTTAAATTGTCCCAGTATTTATAATTTAAGCCGATTTTTTTATACTTTTGCAATAGGTATTTTATCCAGAAGTCCTTATTTAATTAAAAAAGGAAAAAGAAAAGTAGTCAGCATATCACTGATACAAAACCAGGGAAGGGGTCACAACTAGAGCAGAAAAATGACACATCCTGTTAGAACTGTATTACAATTTCACAGGAATACTCTTAATGAACACCGTGTATGTGTGAGAAAAAGACAGCATCACTATTACAGGTATGGAACGATGATCAAGTGTCATTATCCATTGTCCAAAATGAAAAAGAACATTAGTAAAAGGGGAAATGAAAACTAGAAAATGAAAGAAAAAAGCCCCAAACCTAAGGAAACTTTAAAAGCCACCTCTTCACAATAGTCTTCTAAGGCAAATGTTGCATGCACTACCTCCCCAAGAAACTAGACAAAGCTCTTCCATTCCCCGTGTGTTTCCTTTCATTTAGTTTCATGAAGAAAGGTTTGAGAGAGCAGAGCGCTGGGAAGAAATACTACAAACCTCTAAATTAGTGAAAGAACTTCCAGCGTCGCTATTATATTCTGGGTAGGAGGAACTGGAAGAAATTATATTTTTCAGCCTCTGAAGTGCAATGATCAATAGCAAAAGGAGAAAAGCTAAGAGACTAAGGAATATAGAAACATAGACATAGACGTTGGATAAACGGCCAGGTGATGAATCCACTGAAGTTGAAAGGGATGTGGGATATAGCTCCAGAAAAGTCCCATTTTCCATGTTTCCTACAAATCCAGATGAAGGGTCGGGTTCTGACATTTTTGGGTTTGTATTTTAAAAATCACAACAGATCTTGGATTCAGAGGCAGGGTTAGCAGCATAACAAAGGGTTTCTTTTAGGCGACCATTTCTTCATCACAAGGAAGAGATGACAAGTCTGCTAGGGGTGAAATTTATCCTTTACTGCTCAGGCCCAGGACAATGTGAGATTGTATCCTTCGAAACTGCAAGGGAAAAAAAATTGAGAAGCAAGGTTAATTTAATGTGATTTAATGTACATCTGAAACAATCTAGTTCTTAAGACTTCCAAGTTATTATTTCTTAACACTAAGCTGCAATTCTTAAAGCGTTAGCTAACAACTACCTTTATATCTCTCTTTTCCAAAATGCAGCAATTAGGAGAAATCCTACCCATCAATGAATTAAAACTGACCCTTCCCCACCATGAGTTGTTTAACTGAGGAATGGCACAATCGAAAATGTACTTTATATCAGGCAGGCATATTGGAATCTGAATTTATCTTGTGGATAAAAGCTAGGCACAGAACAAAAATCCCTCTCAGCTCCCCAACCTAGATGAGCAAGGCTGCTCAACACCGTGATGGGTGACAAATCCACTGCCATTAGTCACTTACTCCATAGTGCCTTGGCAGAGGTATCCAGCATGAGAAAATATGCCAGACCTGCCTTCTTACTCTATATTTAAGAAATGGATCAAATGGTTTCAATGAACAAAATGCATCTCGCTGTAATGCTGCCACAGGGATCCCAATGGCAGACACTTTTCAGTGAAGTGTTGAGGTTTCTGACACCTACAATCAAAATCCTGAGGGAATAGGCAGCCCTGGCAGCTCAGAAGACACAGGGGGACTATCTAAGGGGAGCGAATGCAAATGGGGAAGAGAGACCATCTTTGAAAAAGCGTTGCCTTCAGCCACTTTGTGTTTAAACCTGGAAGCTTGGGTGCTGGCAAAGGTCAAAGTAGCACAGGACGAGCAGATCAGGGTATGCTAAATTGCTTTACTTTAAACTGATGTATTTAGGCCCCAGATGCAGTCTGCAAGTGCAAGAGAAGACTTGATTATGGGAAATTGCTTGTAAAAAGCTGATGTGCTGTAGCTGAGTTACATGGTGTAATCCATTGCCTTTGCTTTGATACACAACAGAAAATGCAAGGTGCAAGCGGGTAGGAAATTGAGCTCATTTTCTGCATATAATCATCCACATGCAATCTTTGTATCCATCCATCCATGGTCAGCCTCTCACTGCAGATATTCAGGCACCACAAGGAAAGGTGGTGAACTTTCCTCCTGCAAAGACAATATCCATACAGAACGACGCTCACCGCGTGGTCCCTCTCATGTTGACCTTGCTTTCAGCCTCATCCTCTGGTCCCAGTTCAATACAATTATCTCTAACTCACAGTTAGAGGCTTTGAGAAAAATCCCACTGATTTTCATGGGGATAGACAGAGCACACACTCAGCATCAGCCAGAGAGACAGAATCAGGCCCTTGAAGTAGTGATGCGACAGTCTGTGGTCTCTCCTGTGTGTCACACAACTGCCCAAGTGACTCTCTGAGTTCCCATGAAAGTGTCCCAGCACTGTTCCCAGCAATGGTCTGCTTTATCATTTTTTCTTTAAACACACTACCTCTGCTAACTTAGTAAAGCACCTCTTTCTTTAAGAGTTTGACACCAGGTGTGCCCCAACCTGAACTAAAGATCCTTAAGAAGGATAAGGTACTTTTCTGCTAGTGCTGTTTCTTCTCTGAGAATGCAGAGGCCTTGTAGACACCCACTGAAAATGCTAAGAAGTTTGCTTTGCAGTCACTGAAGTTATTTGCATAGTTACCCACTGTACTTTTGCACTGTAAATTAAATTTAGGAGGCTGCGCTGTATGCTGTGAAAAGCCCTGAGTGCCTGAGTAAACAAGGACTACATTAAGCAGTAGGTAGAATCTAATTCTACGGTTTTAAACTCCAATTTTTTTTCTATACCTCAGAACTACATCTATACTACTACACAAAACAGGTTAAGGCTATTCTCTGGTGTCGGGGACAACTTGTGTGCCACGCTGCATCAAGATGGCTAAACTGCCTTTTATCCCCATGGACAGGATGGCCAAATCACAGCTGCCTTTGGGAATGAATGATGGCCAATCCTAACCCCAAATATGTCCAGGCATTGCTTGGAGGGTGCTAGCTGGCCAAAACCGTATCAGAAGGTGTGCGTGCTAATTCAACCTGCTGCCCTGGTCTGGATTAATTTACTAATACATACTCGTGCATGTTTTCATGGATAAAAGTTTACATTCCAGATGTTGTTTTATTACTTATTTATTGCATTTGTTGTTTTATTGCGGAGCTTTTGGTAGTCTTAAACAAGCATCCTGATACCCTACAAGATACGCATGAGTACAAAACTGCATCTGCAAACACCAGGCAAAACTATTCTTACCCTTGTGGTATATAACTCATACTGATGCGTAAAATATACTAAATCAAAACCATTTTACAAGCCTAATAGTGTTTAGCCCCACAAGAAACAGTATTTCTTGTACCTCATGAAATAAGTCACAACAGACTGAACAAAGAGAGATCCTTATGAGATTATACTCCTTTTGAACTGTCTTTAATTTAGTGATCCAAAATTAACTAACGGAACAATACATGTTCATTTCATGTTCTGGAAGTAGTTAAGTGTGTTATAGCTAATTTATCCTTTTTAAAGATAAGCTTTGATATAGAAGATGTTTATCCTTGATTACTCATGATAATGAAAAGCAGATCCATTATTAATTGAATTGCTCTATAATAACTTAAGGAATTAATTCACATAAATTCTTTAACGTGGCAGAAGTTAAAAGCCTTTAAATTCTTCACAAATTTGAAATCTGCTACGTTCTACTTTTACCATCAACAGTTTTGGCCCTGGTACAAGGAAGAACTTTGGCACGGGACTTTCTTTGAAGTGGAAAAATTTATGGTCTTAAAAAGGACTAATCAGAACCTCACAGTTAAGCAGAGATGTGAGTGCTTTGCTAGATCAGAGCCTTTATTGGTCTTACAATGTCAACTGGGCTATTTTTAACTGAGTATTTTGTAGTGAGATCAGAGATGCTGTAAACTCTGATTCCAAATGACTATGGCCCAGATCCTAGTTGCTTAACTCACACTGTGTAGTGATGTGATGTGTAAATGAATCTCAGCATAAAACGTAGCTTCAGCTAAAGTGGCTCTTTGGGTAATATTTTAGGAAGAAAAAAAAATCTGTGTTGTTTTAATCACACATTTAAAAATACAGACCTAAAGCGTAAGGTCCTACTCGGTCTAAAAGAATTTTTACCAACCATCTGTACCCTGTTGGAATAAAACAGCAAAATCCTACGGGGTGTGAACATATCTGGTCCTGACATCTGAGTAGTATTCATGGGAAAGGTACAAAACGTGTACGGCAATAAAATGGATCCCACCCTGATCCCTGATGATGTTCCCTGGTGCTGTCCCAGCATTGCCACCCCGCTGCAGAGCAGCCAGGATGGGTGCAAGGGTGCAAACACCGTTCTGGACCAAAATGCAGCTACACGGTCCTGGGGCTGCATGAACCTCTGCCACACCACAAGTCAGACCTTCCAGCCGTCAAGAAGGGCACCCACAAGCAATTTTATTCAGTGCACCACAGCTAACGCTTCAGCTCAGGTTCCTGCTTCTGCTGGGAGAAGGAGGTTTGTGGCATAACCATTTGTCTCTCTTACCCTAATCCTCCCAAAGGAATAACCCCCAATAAAGCCAGGTGTCAGCTTCACCTTCTTGTTTGGTAATTGGTTTTGTGCATTTCTGAAAACTAAACAGAACAACATTGTAACATCAAGCCCAAATCTGGTCCCCCCAAAAAATGACTGGGAATTTTGTCACTGACTTCAAAGTATAATGGCAAAATTGGAAGTGGCTAACTGCAATAAACCCATTGTCTTTCTGAGAGCTGTGAACGCATCAAGGAATTCAACTAAGGAGCCAAAGTTCTGAAATTCTGTAGTGGTCCCTACCTTTCCCTCGTCTATTGTTGGAAAGCTGAGTTGGTTTAAGGCAAAGACTGAACTTAAAGTGCTTTTGCTGAATAGCTGGAGATGGAGAGGAACTCTGCCAGGAGAAGGCTTCCTGAATAACCACTCCTGAAAATTCCTGGGACAGAAGAACTGGGACGTGTCTGCTGGGGGACTAAGATTTTGTGGTGTAGCTGGATCCGGATTACTTTCTCGGAGGCAGCTCTGCAATCCCGGGACAGGGATGGGTGGCTTGAGGAGGCTTCCCGAGTCGCTGAGTCCCACCACACCACTGTGGGAAGTCACAGGTCATACTCTGCCTTTCCAACACTGGCTGACTTTTCCCGCTGCTGTTACTCCATTGTTACACAGCTTCGCTGCTCTAATGGGCGAACCGCTTAAGCAGATTCACTCATTTCAGCAAAGCTACTCGCTGTACCAAGAAGGCACAGACTCCACCTCACGGCTCTGCTGGTTTTAGATGTACAAGAGAGCAGAACCTTTTTCTGTTACTTCAGACCCCAAATACGAGGTCTGGCACACAAGGAAAGGCTCTGCTTGTGGTATCATTTGTACACCCTTGCTTTTCAGCCAGAACCACTATTTAAGTATTTTCCTCCAGCTGTGCATTGTTCCTCCTTTCATGCCCTTGGTATGAATCACTTTTCACAGGTGAGAACAACCCCGCTTATTCCAAGGGCAGGGCTACCTGGCAGATGCTGTAAGCAGGCTCAGCTGGAGTTTCTCATCTATTCTTTTATCCCATGATAAGTGGGAGACATGCAAATTGGCATTCACCAAAAGCAGGGCAAACTGGGTAGGTGTAGATTAAGCAAGCCATGTCTGTGTAAGAGATAAATCCCAGGAATCATTCGGAAGAATGTTTTTACTTTGAGGGTTGTAAGGCACTGGAACAGGTTTCCCAGAGAGGTTGTTGAGGCCCCATCCCTGGAGGTGTTCAAGGCCAGGCTGGACGTGGCCTTGGGCAACCTGG